TTATCGTGGTCTGACAGTGAGCTTCTTCTTCTTCTTTAATGACTTAACCGTCAGAAACAGTCTTCATTCTCCTGTGAAACTCCAGCAAACTCACTCAGATGCATCGTTGTGTCCGGCTGTCACACCCACAGCCCACAGAGGTTGAGTTCACTGTCACTGAAAACCCAGGACACATTCAGTTTTTGGAGGTTAAACGTGATGGTGAGCGTGCTGGTTTCTGTGACGATGAGTAGTTTCTGGATTTCTGCATTGAATCCTCGTAAAATATCGTCTGATATTCAACATAATTACAGACAAACAGAACAACACTCCTAACACAGAAGTGCACATTGATGTGTTTGAAGGGAAAAAGCTCTGAACAGCAGAACCTCACATGAACCTTACAGTTTCATAGTTTCAGGATCCCACCAGGGTCCAGATCAGAACCCCGTATGTCAGTAAACATCAGTAAACATCAGTAAACATCAGTAAACATCAGTTTGGTGGGATTAGAAGCGGCTCTCTGGCAGCAGCATTTACAATCAATAACAATAAAAACTTAGTTAGTGGGGGTTTTAAACAAGGCCGGGGTAATAAACTGTGCGACTGTTGGTCGAAGACCGAGGAAGAGGAGAGGGGGGTGGCAGGTTAGCAGGTAGCGAGAGAGAAGGAAAAGCAGGAGTGAGAGTAAGGACTCTAAATGTGGGAACTATGACCAGCTGATTGGAGCTGCTCGGCAGTCTGAGGAGGTCTGTGGGTGTCATGAAGACATGCAGAGGGTGATGGAGGCAGAAGATCTGCTGTGGCGAGCCATAATGGGATCAGCTATTTTGAATATACAAGTCAGATATTTGATGTGAGATGCCTCCTGGATGCCTCATACGTGACGTGTTCCTGACATGTGCTTCTGGGAAGGGGCCGGACAGATCCCGGACACACTGGAGAGATTCTCTCGGCTTTGGTGGGAACTCGTTGGTGTTACTCAGAAGAGTTGGACGAGTCCTACTACCTGGACTATCTCTGTTATCTGGATTTATCCTAACATTAGAGATCAGCTGGGTTATAAACTCACTAACTAACCCACAGTTTAACGGTTTAACCTGCGTTCAGATGAAAGAGGAGAACAGTCAGCAGAGTGTTTGACAAAAGAAGCAGAAACCATGATATCAGAAACATATGGAGATTAAAGACACAGTACAAGTATGAGTGTGTCTGTGTTTGTGTATCTGTGTGAGTGTGTGT